CCTGCACCACACATGTACCCTGCACCCGAGGCAGGGGCCGCCCACGCGCCAAGCACCCGGGGCCGACACCGCACATGTACCCTGCACCCGAGGCAGGGGCCGCCCCAGTTGCATATACATGCAAATATATATGCAAATATATGCAAATAACTTCTTTCACACTGACAGGCATGAATACAAAAGTTAAGCCTTAAGCCGCAGCACCAGACCCAAACGTGGCCAGCGTGAGCCAGTCGGCACCTCTCAGGCTCTGCCCACAAGTCTCAGCAGCCAGCACTTCCCACAATGCCCCAGCGCTTCCGGCACCTCCTCCCTGGGGGCTAGAAACACCGGCCCCCATACCTGTCTGTTCCCGCCAGCCCATCCACTTGCGTCTCTCAGTGCTCACCCTGCCGGGGAGACGCCTCGCCGCTGTGGGGCATGTTCCCAGGGAGGCCATGTCCAAAGGATCCCACCTGCGGGCCACATGTTGAGTCACCCTGGTCTAGATCATCCCTGACAGGTGTCTGTCTAACCTGCTCTTACATATCTCCAGAGATGGATAGTCCACAACCTCCCGGGGAATTTATTCCAGTGTTTAACCAGCCTGACTGGCAGGAAGTTTTTCCTGATGTTCAACCTCAACCTCCCTGGCTGCAGTTTAAGCCCATTGCTGCTTGTCCTGTCCTCAGAGGCCCAGGAGAACAATTTTTCTCCCTTCTCGGTGTAACACCCTTTTAGATAGTTGAAAATTATCCCATCCCCCTCCATCTTCTCCTTTCCAAACTAAACATGCCCAGTTCTTTCAGTCTTCTCTCATAGCTCGTGTTCTCTAGACCTGTCATCATTCTTGTTACTCTTCTCTGGACCCTCCCCAATTTCTCCACATCTTTCTTGAAATGTGGTGCCCAGCACTGCACACAATGCTCCAACTGAGGCCTGATCAGCTCAGAGCAGAGCAGAAGAATGACTCCTCCTGATTTGCGCACAGCACTCCTGTTCATGCATCATCCCACAATCAGGTTTGCTTTTTTTGCAACAGTGTTGACTCATATTTAGCTTGTGATCCACCGTGACCCCTAGATCCTGTTTCCACAGTGTGTCTGCCTAAGCACTCACTTCCCATTCTCTGTGAGACGGATTGTTCCTGCATACGTGGAGCACTTTGCATTTGTCCTTATTAAACGTCATCCTGTTGGCCTCAGACCATCTCTCCAGTAGTAACAGGGTGGTTGGAGAAGGCCCCAGGGCAGTGGTCCCCAACTTTTCGGGGCTGCTGGGAGCCTGGGGGCGGGGCTGCTCACACACCAGGCGTCTGGGGGCAGGGCCACACATGCGCCGCGAGCCCGTGGGCGGGGCCATGCATGTGCCTGGGGCCGGCACCGCACATGTGTTGCGGGGGGAGCCACTCACGCACTGGGTGTCCAGGGGCGGGGCCGCCCATGTGCCCGGGCCCGGCACCGCACATGTGCTGCGCGCCCGGGCAGGGGCCGCCCACACGCCCTGCACTCGGGGCCGACACCACGCATGTGCCATGCACCTGGGCCAGGGGGGGGGCGCACATAAATGCCCCGGCGGGCGCCATGGCACCCACAGGCACCACGTTGGGGACCACTGCCCCAGGGCATGCAGCAGAGACAAGGGAGGAGGCTCTGTGGCCTGAACTAGGGACTTGAACGCTGGACCCTTACATTAAGATCCTGAGGCTTTGTTGACTGAGCTAGCCAGGCTCATAGAACTCAAAAATTCAATTCGTGGAATGAGGAAGCCTAATCCGAACTAGCTACTCCATGCCCCGTGTAGCCGCGCGGCACGGGGTTCCAACTAGCCGGGATTTAAAAATGGCAGCGCCTGGTTTATGCAAATGAAGCCCGGGAAATTCAAATCCCGGGCTTCATTTGCAAGTGCGGTATGCCTACATTCCCCTCCTAGTTCGAACTAGCGGGGTAGTGTAGACATACCCTAAGGGTGTTAAACTGAGGTTATCTGGGTAGCTGTAGTCAATAAAATGTGTATCCACTGTACGATTAGTCGATAAGGACCGCTCTGCAGAGCCGCGGTGGGGTGGGACTCGGGAGCCAGCCGTGCCGTGGCTCTGCATTTTAAATGCAGTGAGAGTCACCGGGCTCTTATGCAGCGTCCTGGACCAGTGCGAGCCAGGACTGCTCGGTCCTGGCTCACACCAAGTCCAGCAGCCCCAGTTCATGGCGGGCAGCCCTGTCCCCACCCCCCACTGCCTCTGATAAAGGCAGCATGGGGGACAGATGGCACCGCAGAGATGGTGCTGGGGGGAACTGGCTTTTAAGGCGGCTCCCCCCAGCACCGGGCCCCCTCTCCCCCCCCCC